CATGCGCAACTGTGACTGTATAAATAGGATAATATATGCTGAGTTGACAAAGTCGGTCTAGCTAGTACTAGATCGGTGGAAATGGCCATATAATTAAGGTATAGGCTATAAGGTGCCTGGTATATGTATTTATTACTAGACATTCTGCATACATATTGATGCTTTTTCTAATCCGAAATAAATATTCCAGAAATTATTTTCGATTTCGCACGACCTTCTAAGCTCTGTGAAAAGTATACACCCGAACAGATTCACTCGATCCCCAGATATATACCGGCATGGAACTGCTGATAAATTAGAGGCAATAAAAACTTCAATTAAAATGTCGGAGCTCTTAATTTTAAATTTAGAGGAAAATGTTGGTATAACAAAAGAAAAGATCCACTTTCTTAATATGGTAGATCAGTGGATGATTGAAGCGTGTGGAATGCTTTTCGATGAACATCCTCGACGTCGTACATTTAAGTTTGGTAAATATTAAAACCATGAGAATGAGGCTCATAATCCTGAGTTTTTAAAAAAACCTCCTCATAAATTAGGCTAATATTTTTTAGACATCAAAATTGCACAATTTTTAATTGAAAAAATATCGTGGCAGACTTTAAGAGATTCCATCAAAATGCCCTTTGATGAGTATGTCTGGAATTTAACCAGTTATATGACTTATTTGCCGGTCGATGATGGCTTGTGCTTCGGATTCTCTAAGCTAAGCGACGTTTTATTTAATGATACGTCATTTGGTATCAACATTTACAGCAGTAGAAATGGAGACGTTAATCTAAGTGAGCATGGGGAAATTGAAGTTCATATTCCGTATTTGGAAACTTCCGTGTCACAAGTGAGTCACTTTCAAACACATCATTAAACCGGTTTATGATACATGCGTTTTTAGTGCAATGTTTATAGCAAAGACTCGAACATACTATGCGATGTTTCCAAACCATTTCCTAATTACATGCAATGTATTTGTCCCAAATTTGGATTCTTTTAGTAAGTATATTGTATGTAGTAAGTAGTCGGTTTTACAAATGGCATGGCGGGAATAAAAAATAATTATAAGGTATTGCCATCTTTATCATCTTTTATACAGGGTTGCTCATTAGTGCGTCAAAGTGCGATATCTCAGTAAATATGA